TACTTGACGAACCCACTCAAACAACCGATCATTTCAGACATTACATGAATTTAGTCAATAATGGTTTCACTGCCCAAGCAATTCCTCCACAGCTGGCCAATTCTCACATTTCCAACTTCTCCATGCCATTTTAGGTCCCCAGTTTTAATGTCACTCAAAGTAGAGTTATTCCTTAACACCTAAACTCTATTAATATTCAAACAGTAAAGTCTTCCTTTCACACCACACCTGTCATCCTACTCTTTCCTCATAGTACAACACTACAGCCTACATAGCAAAGCGCTGCTCAGTTATGATTTGGATTCACTTGTCCAGCTGCTGAAACGACTCAGAAGCACCTTATCCTTTTGGGTTTAAAAATTTCCTGTCGTCTTACTGCAGTCCTTCATATTATGTAACCTGGGTGAAACAACAACATTTCCAGAAACTACCCAACGATGCAATCTGAAACCACAGGTCCCGAGCCGTAATTAGCATTTTGTAATTGCTTTCAACAATGCGGATTTCTGAGCATAAACCCGACGTTTATGCTCTCCCTTACTCAGGAAGACTTAGCATCTTTGCTTCACAAAGGTGTCTCGTTCGGTCTCCACACTAAATACTTTTTGCACAATTATCAAAAGTCTGATAGCAAATTGTAATTTGTGCCTGTTGTACTGAAGAAATATTTCAGATTCCAACGGACAAATCTATAAGATTCAATATTACCAGCATGTAAGAGAAACTGTTTTCAGGTACTGAAGTATTCCAGTCCTGGGGCTAAATTACGTCACAGCCAGCGCATATTTAGAAACAAACTTACTGGAGTTAGATTTATTGATTAGGATCTTGTGAAGGGAAAAACAACTTCACTGAGAGCTAAGAAATCTCCAACTTCGTTTTCTGCTTCGAGTTGCAGTGATAAGCACAATGTTAACACAGTGCTCCTACACATAAAATATTATATTATTTAAACTCAAATTCTTTCCTTTGGAATTGAAAGCAAATTACTGAAATGACAAGAAATCCGTTACATGATACACCCAATTTCAGAACTCCCATATTTCCTCCCCAGAATCATATATTGCATTTTTTTAATTCCTATTTTTCCATCACTAGATTTTATCATCTTAACATTAGATGACAATAATTATTTGGTTTTAAGACCAGTTCAAAGAGAGGGACATGATAACATCCCTCAATATAAGCTGAAAATTCACACACAGTGCCCGGTCGTGTACTCAGTAACAGCCTCCTCATGAAATGGGGAACATTTTTACTGAAGCACATCTCTGAACCTTAGCTTTCAAGTGTTTCTTCATTCTACTAGCATTTGGGCTCCACTCTTGATTAACCTGAGAGCTGAGAAACTTAGAACAAAAAGAGAATAATTTTGAACTGCCTTCCAAGCTCACTTGGCTTGTAAATAGGTATGTGACATTTTGTCAAGGTCTTTTCACATATTCCTGCACCACCATTCCAAATACAGAAGGCCAGAAAGAGAAATGTGAGTTTGGTTCAATTATCTGAAGCACTTCCGTGTACTGTTCAGTGGAGGGTTCAACTTCAATCATATCTGCTGTGGCAGCTGCATTAAACTTCAGTTTAAAGACAGAAGAGCAGAAAGGTAACATCCATCAGAAACACCAGAAAAATTTCCATCTTTTTCTTTTTTATTTAACCACATAAGTACATGTCAACAGTTGGCATAAACTTCATAAAAATACAGTACCTTTTTGTGCTGTAACACTAGTCACAATGTTTATATAAAGATTTCATTCCCGCTTCCTTGAATTCAATTAACATTTTAAAAAGTGACTTCCCAAAAGCCCTTTTGGTGATAGGTTCCTTATAGAAATTTTTTTCCAAAAAGCTATTCTGTAAAAGTTAAAAAGCTAATGCATTTTCAGCCATTCTCCCTCACCCTCTCAATAAAACAGATTTTAAAAAAATAAGAAGTCTTAGAATACTGATCAGTTGTCACACTACTACCTTATCATGGGTTCCCATTCAACTGATACTCTTACAGGCGTGATGGACGCTGTTCCTACAGCACCCAATACTGCTAGATGCTATTAGGGCTAAAAAGACCAGTCATATCAATAGACTGATGTCTGAACAACAAAAAAAACCCACATAAACAAGTCAAAACAAAACTGAAACAAATAATATACAGAGAAACATCAGACTTCAGAAGTCTTACACTGCAGAATCACAATTACTGTGATACTTCCCGATGGCAATAAGCATACAAAAATTCTATCAAGTCAGGTAAATGATTAAAGGGTGGCCTTGCACTGGGGGTCTCCTGGAAAGTGAATTCTCTAGGATTCTTTATTACCTACAATATTGGTGTGACACCAAGATGACAGGAAAACTGCAGAACCAGTCTAATGTTGCTGGAGCAATTATACCCACACAACTTACTATGGGGTTAAATTTCATTTTTCTTTAACGCTGATGACAAAATCCAGGCAGGATCTAATGCATGGGGAAAGAAAACAGGGCACAAATTTTGAAAGTAATTTCTTACCAAGTTAGGCGCTGAAGGTCTAGTTAAGGCAGTGAAGGATTTATTTTAGTATCTTCCTAAGGCTATGACAGATTTTTCCTGAATAAAGCGTTTTCCCTTAAAAGTTTCATGTATATTACGCCAGCTTATTCTGGATGCATAAAAATGCTAAAAATCCTTGGACATGGAGAAGCTAAACTATTGCTCACTGCAAATATTACCCTTATTAGTCTTCTTTTTTAATATCAATAAGATTCCAAGAACATGCACCTAAATAACGAAGTTTCAAGCCTGCCTACAAACTCTTCCATTTCAAAAGCAAGCTTAAAAGCATGTGTTAAGTGATCCAAAACAAGTGTTCTTAATCGTCTCAAAGAAAAAAAAATGTCTTTCTCTCAGACACGACCAGTGAAACTATGTGACTTTTAAGAGAATTTCTAGTATCATCTCGCCCAGAAGGGAGATGGGGGATGAAAGCGACACGAGAAACGCGATGCCAGATGCTATAGCACCATTCCTTTGTTCCTAGCTGCTAGCACCAGAGCTTTAAACAAACTTGCTTTGCTAAGACATTCTGACAGTCCCATTTCACAATATCATTGGTTTTGAGAATGGAGTTACTTTCCACAGCTACTCTTAACTCTTTTTGGATCAGTGTTAAATAAAATGTGCACACACATAATCATTTGCATAGCAAATCTCAAGGGACTGACCCTGAAATAGAAATCCAAACTGTTAGGTTTAAGATATTTCTATAATCAGAATTCTCTTAAAATGGTAAAAAATAAAATACACATTTTTCCATTTTAAGCCTAGTAGAAAAGGTATTTCTGATTTTGAATTCTTATAGTTGCCAGTTTAAAAAGTTGAGAGACTGATGGTTCTTTGCATTGCAACGTTATTCCTTTGGAATCTTCAAGACTCTGTAATTGCTATTTTCAAACACTGTGATGAAATACGGCCTGGAATCCTTGCTCAGAAGGGTACATAAAGGAATTTTGCCACTATTAGCGGGATCTTCGACATCCCAGATTTCAGGCATACTGCAGCCAGGCCTGGAAAACATATGAATACGAAAAGAGAAATGAGGAAATGCCACCAAAAACATACAGCTTGCTGAA